TTGTGGACCGAGAAAGATGGAGTCTGTAGCAAAGTTCCAATTTGCAGTGACAAAGGTAGAAAGCCAAAGCAGTTTAAAATGTCTTTCCCAAGCTGGGGGGCAGGCCTGGAGGAACCATTGCACAGCAGATGCCAGTAAAGGAGAAGAAGCCCATGCTGCGGTCGCTGTATTCCCTTTTCTCTGCCTGGATCCCCAGGGGATGCCACATACTGCAGTGGATAGACAGAGGGTTTCCCTTGTGCTACATTTTCTGTTACTATCAAGAAGGCATCACAAGATTTCACAAAGTGCAGAGACACTGCCAGCTGAATTCTTTCCGGGTGAAGCAAGTCTCTATCAGCTAAGAAGGGACGACACGAGTGACCTTAGAGCTGGCTTTCTGCATGCAGATCTTCCTCCATGCAAGGAGGAAGGAGCAAAATACTGCTGGTACCCCCACAGCAGTGTTTGCTGTGTAAGTGCATTTTAGAGGAGCTCAAACCAGGAAGAAAAGGAAAAGCAGCAGAAAACAAATGTATGAGTAGTGAAGACATCAGCACTGTCCCCCTACACACCAGGGAGCTTTATAGGTGGAACTTTGTGGGTCTGGCCAGTCATTTTTGTGTCAGAGCTTCTTCCACCAGGAGAAGACACTGAGCCTATCTATGCCTATCCACCTGACCACAGGACCTTGGGGTTTGCACAGATGCAGTGGCAAAAGTAATTTCTGAAGCCTTCTCTGTAAGCAGACCTGGATAAATAATGAGGAATCAATCATTTGCTAGAGAAGTTTCTTTGTCTTCTGTTTACAGATGGAGCACATGGACATTTCAAGTGAGTGTGTTGATGAACTGCTTAGCCAAAGCTCTTGCTGGGGAGATGACAGTGAACTCACTGAACTTCTCCCAGGAGCAGCTGGCTCTCCGGTCCAGTGGCACCTCCCACCACTGACATCACTGCAGGCACCAGCAGCATCTCGATCCCCCAAGGTGCGTCAGTGGGTAAGTTGTCTGGAAAAGTGTGTATACATCTGTCAGTGGCCTGGCAGTCTCCTCCCCCTCTCCCCTTTACGGAGCCAGAAAACAGAGGCTGAAGTGCTGAGAATGCCCCAAAGACAGACATGTACGTCATTGCTGTACGACATCACGAACCTGTGACATTCACTGCCACAGTGGCTGGATGGATAGGAAGAATGAGAAAGAAACAAGATGTTCCCATGGGTAAAGACAATCACAGCTCCCCAAACCATACAAGACCATATAACACACAGAATTCTCTTAGGCACCAGAGAATAAACCAACCACTAAAAGCTGATGAAATGTCCCTTTTCTGAGCTCATTTCTTGTCCCTTCCTTTGAAGCAGCTGCTCAGGAAACTGCATATGAAGCTGATCACATCTGCCGTGCCCGTGTTGCAGTGGGTGAGACCCCTGCCATCTCAGTGCTGTTGTCACTGCGCTTGCTCCCCTTGCATTTCCCTGCCTGGTCTCCATCCATTGCCTGTCCTGTATCTGGGAGCAAGCAGCCTTCTGCTTCCAGCAAACTCAGGATCCGCCCTGTACCTTCGCTACATTCATAAAGCAAGCCTGTATCTAGTCAAGCAAGAAAGAATAGAGCTTCATAGAAATAATCCCCCAAACTCCTATTATTAGCTTTTTGTAGCAACATTAATTTTAGAAGAAAAACTAGGTCCAAAGTGCTGGGCTCATTTTAATAAAGATTCACGGTCACAATTTAATCCCTTGATGAGGAAGAATCAGCTTTTGAGCACGTCAGACTCATTACAAACTCCTCACAAAGTCATCGGAGTCTGACAAGTGGTGGCAGGGAAAACGGGCGAAAGGTGAATGATTCTGTGTACGGATTAGATGAAACACAAGTTACTGAACCTGCACTTCCCTTCATTGCCAGCAGCCGCGGCATTTCCAGGAGAGAGATGAAAGCACCCAGAAAAGAAGATAAACAAGAAAACAGCTCTGAAACAGGCATGCTGATAAAAACAACCCAAGGAGGATGGGGCTTGAGATAAAAGAGAAGGTGCTGGAGATTTTGCAGTGACTTCCAGGTGGGGATGAAGTGAGGGAGCGGAGCTGTCATCAGAGCCATCTTTCCTGAGCATGGTATGTCATGGAGCAGAGTAATTTCCTCTTGCAAGCATCTCGGCCATTGTCCTTTCCTTCCGCAGCCAGCAACAACGCAGCTGCAGGCCCCAGGAAGGTCCCAGAAATCTGACACTGCCCTTCAGTGACTGTTTCCTTCTTTCCACATTTGCTTTAGCTCTTTCCATCCCATTATTTTGGCTCTGGGCAAGGCAATGGGATTATACAGATCTGTGGAGACTTTGTCCTTCTTTAGAATGCTTATTGGTGGTGATAAATTGAGCAGGAGGCAGCAGAGGCAGCTGGATGTTTCATCATTACCTTGGCCTGATACAGCCATAGCAGTATCACGGGAGCATGTGGAATCCAAGTCTCAGCCAGCGCTGGAGGCTCTGCAGACACACTGAAAAAAGACAAGTCTCAGACCCCGAATATTCTGTGGGGCAGAATACTGAACACTTAGTGCTGATCTCCAGGGACACATTGTTTTGTGGGACATTTTCAGTGCCCTTGTAACATCTGGTATAAGGACAGGGGACTGTCAATAGTTTATGTCTCAAGAACTATGGATCTTGTCCCTGAGGAGTGCCTTCAGCAGGTGGCTTTGCCTGCATGGGAGACAATGCTTGGTTTTCTCTAGAGTGATAGCTCCTTCGCCCAAAGCAGTGCCTCCACAGAGACCTCAGTTCCTGCATAAGCGTGCAGGGAACAACCAGATGAGGGGAAGATGCAGATTATTACATCCTGATGCTTCCTACAATTTTGCAAAGCACCTGCCTTAGAGAAGCAGGGACAGAGTTTCAAGGCAGCTCAGGGCTGAAGATGCTTGCCCTGGTGATTTTGATGAAGCCATGCTGGGGAACTGGAAGGCCCACAGTGTTTGGAGATGGTCCCCCAACATCAGCCTAATCTGCTTTACAACCTTTGATAGAAGTTTTTGGAGGACACCTGCAATGGGAGCATAATCCCCAAAGGGAGGACAGATGAGCTGAGCTCACGGTTTCCAGGGTTCAGAAGGGTACATGCATTAAACCAGCTCAAGCTCCCATCTGGGTAGTCACGTGACACATTGGTCTTAGGCTGCTTCACTTCTGAGTTTGGGGTCAGGTACTGCTGAGGCCTGGGGACCCCATGGTGTTGATTTACCGGTGAGACCTGGACACATCCCTAGGACCCATGCTGAATGGGTCTTCTTGAGGAATGAAATGATTGTCTGATTTCCCCAGGAGTCCCCCAGCATGGCAGCAGCTTTACATGGCAGAGCTAAAGCTTGCTTTGCCAACCTCACGCTCCATGGGGTCTCTGAAGAGAGTTATAAAATGCCCCCAGCCATGAGTTGTGGGCATTCAGACCTAGGTAGCTCAAGGAAACGGTTCACAGGGTGCGAGGTACAGGGGAGGGGATTTTCAGGGGTGGTTTCCCCTTTCTCTCCACTGCACTCTTCACCCTACACCACCCTCCACACTCTCCTGAAAACCGCCTACAGCTACAGGGCATCACTTCAGTCCTTGTCTTCATGTGCTCCTCTTTACTGTGATTCTTCTCTGTCCTCTGTGTGTCCTTACAGCTGGCAATGCCTTGTATGTCTTCAGGAAATGTTTGTAAAGGCTTTAGTTTAGTTTGCAATGGGACATGGGGGAAGCAGGTGCTTTGCAAAATTGTAGAAAGCATCAGGATGTAATAATCTGCATCTTCCCCTCATCTGGGATGAACTCATGCACACTTACAGGAGCAATACCCAGTGCACATACTGTTGGGGACATGAAGACTGCAAATCCATAGCCATCACAGCCCCTGCACACCCCCGTAGGCATTGCTGCCCCATGCACACCTATAGGGACGGCACAGACAGCTGAGCTGGTGGGCCCATGTCCCCTGCCCATCCCTGTAGGGACCCCATGGGCGGGTACGGGGGCCGCACACCTCACACACTTAGAGGGATCACACCCCTGCCCACCCCCGTGGGGACCCTGACCCCGTGCACCGCTCGGGTGGGGGCCACCCCCCGCACCCCCCTGTAACCCCCCACAGCCCTTAGGGACCCTG